TTGTATTATATGTTTGATTCTTGCACTATAATTAGTATGATTTGAGTAGTTTCTCTGAGGGCATAAGTTCTGCCAAAAATGGTCAGTTTTGGCAGTTTTGATGGTTGGAGATCAACATTTATTCTTGTCAGACTAAAATTGTGACAGGACTAGCCCTTAGGTCTTGGTTGTTTAGAGAAAAGGAAAAGGATGAAAATATAGTTGCTTTCCACTTCATGTTATATTCATTATAGGTATGTAGTTGTAGGAAGATGCCCGGAGTTTCAACTCTTTAAGCAACCTATTGGCAATTCATTGACATTTACGTATTATTTAGGATGGTTTTGATTTTTGGATTCGAATCAGGATGATTGCGTAGTTCTCATAGTAAATTAGAAGCTTTGTGATATATGTTTGGTTTGAAGGATGAGTAGGTTTTGGACGCAGATGGGCAATTAATTAAAAAACCAAACTTAAGATCTGTAATTTGTTCAGATAATGTGTGGAGATAAGCAAAGTCCTCCCAGGTATGTGTAATAGCTTAAGATGTTTCTGCAGTAGCTATTTCCATTGGATTTACATTTTCAAGATCTGTTTGTGGGGGTCTTAGAGATGGTATGCCTAGTGTATTTGGCATTATGAGCTACATCCTGTGCTTCTACAAGTAAAATTTCCTAATATAATTTCCCCCATGGTGACCGTAGCTTTTAGTTTGATTCATATATCTTCAGTTTGGGCTTTGAAGTGGAAGTGTTGGAATGGATTATTTAATCATCGGAGAAGCAAAGATGTTATTCTTAACATTTAACAACAAATGGTGCTTGAAGTTATTCCCAAGTTATGAATAGATTCTGACTTGCAGTATTGCTTCTCTTTAGCTTTAAAGAATTTATATGAAATATTGATGTTTTATTCTCATTTAGGTAATTCAAAGGATGAGTGATGTTGATGACTTTCAAGGATATATTTAAATTTTCAATAACCTCCTTTAGCTGCCAATTGAATCTGAACCACTGAAATAAATATGATGGCCATTGATACCCCTGCTTCAACTAATAATAATTGCCATAGTCTGTTTGTCTTATATTAGTGTTCCATAAATAATATGAACGTTCTTGCCTTTGTTTTAAGAAAATTATCCAATACACCGTCATTTGAGTTTTTAAACTCCATGAACGGGATTAGAGAGTTGTCATTTGCCCTGTTAAGGTATATTTAAAATAATTAATAAATTAATATCATTAATAAAAGGATATGTGATAATATTTTAATCTTACTTGTAAAGTTTAAAATCTCTACCGGCAGTGTATAGAATAATAATTCTTTGTTCTATCACGCATAAATATTGAAACATCTGGTTACATCTTTTATCACGGGTGTGGGTCTGCATTTCCCACTGGCCTACCGCCTACTTGTATCTGCGTAGATTTCACATGGATGTGTTTTGCCTGGATACAAACATGACCTTGAATTGAATGTTGTTTCCTCCAATTATTATATGCAATATCTCAACGTTCTGGTTGCTTTCCTTGAGAACTATCTCTTACCTTTGTGATTGCTAACTTGTGTTGGAATCATGGAATAATTTTTTGTATGCATTGGTTGTAGGTTCTTAATATGATCGTTGAGGACCTATTTCAAGGGCATCCTATCAGTCAAAGAAAACTTAAGGAACTTCTTGGACACACTCCTTCACAGGTCTTTGCAGGAGCTATGCTTGGCATTGTGGTAGCTTGTGTATGCTGTCAAGGTTGCTTGGTTGCAACCTAGAACTGCTTCTGCAAGCAATTTTTGATCAGATCGTGTGAAGTGTTTTGCTAGTTTAAAATCCCCTGGCTCAATTGTATGGCCTGCTGAGTTGTTGTATTCCCTACTTACATCTTCAATAACCTGAACCAGAAGACGCGGAACTTTTCTTTTTCCGTTTCACTAACTTTCCTACTTGTAGCACAAATCTGAATTGACGCCATGTAGCAATTAGAAACTTTCCTGCCAGTATGTTGGATCAAGAATAATTATTAGATGAAGGATTGAAGAGTGCTGAGCAACTTGCTTGACCGCATTTTTCCCCTGGGTAATCTTGGGCCATGGGCGGTTCTTGGCATTTAGAAATTTGTGGTTCCACTTTATTTCTAGTTAAAGTTAATGATTTCTTCTTCTTATCTGCAAATAAATTCTGACGAAGGCGGTGCAAATTTGGGATTTGAGAGGGGAATTCCAATTCGGACAGATTTATCTCTTCAAGCTACCCATTCATCTCTGTCTTTATCCAAAAATTAAAAATAAATAAGGAAATAAAATAGTATAGTTCTGCTGGGCTACGGCCTCGCCATCACGTGCTAGAAGGCACTATCTCAGTTAGAGCTAGAAGGGCTTTGGTTGAACCACAGCAGTGCGCCACGTGGTGATCCAGCGGCCCCACAATCACCAAGTTTGCTGATGGCAGCCATTGAATAATGGTTTCCCAGAGTCCCCAATCACTTTCATGGTCCACCGATTGTTAGATCTTTGTCTGAATCACGTACAGCTCTGCAGACGTCAACTAAAGGAGAAACCATAAAACTTTCCGAAGATTCAAGACAAACTACTGTCCTTCTGTCAGCTGCATATCCCAAAATGGCAAAATGTTAATCTGGTATTTTCTTAGTATTTCTTTTTCGAGAACAGAGATATTTTCTCATTTCCATACCCTTCTTTTCCTTCGTCTTCGTTTCTTTCTCTCTGTTCATATTACTCCTTTTATAGTTCGTTGTTTTCTTTCCTTCCAACTCAATTTGGTCAACGTTTTCGCGGGGCTGTGAATTGGAATAACAATCTTGAAACTTGGATAGACCCCTACATTCATCAGATAAAGAAAGTTAAAGAGCTGCCAGAGATGCAGCTTATTTGTCTTGTTCATAAACAGTTATTTATTTGTTGTGAATTGTGATTTTATGTGCGTTTGTCTCCTAATAGTGGTGTTTTGCTTCTATATGATGGTGTAATTCAGCATATTCTGATCTTGTTACAGTGGGGTGTATCTACGCATTTAAAAGACTTCACCTGATTAAGCTGACAACTTATACCGGAAATGGGTTCAAGTTGCTCGATAGATTCAGGAGCTGTAAACGATCCCATGCCAGAGAATTTTAACAATCTTGCTTCTGAAACACCTTCTGAGTTTAGCTATCTCTTTATCTTTATATGGTTGATTTTATGTAAAACTCAAAGGGTTATATCCTTCTGCATAAATTCAACTTATTATTTTGTTCTCAGAAGACAATGCACATGTTCCGTAGGAAAATTTTGGATGTTCTGACCTCACTGTCCTCTTCAAACAAGGACTTTAATTTATTTTAGGAATTACTTTGCTGAAACCTTAAACAAAGCACTACTATTATTTATGTTAGATTTTGACAGTCACTGCCAGTGAGATTCAATACTTGCATGAGCTATATAAGAAGTTAAGCAGTTCCATAATCAAAGATGGATACATACACAAGGTAATTCTGCTCCCAGAACTTCAATTATTAATCAGCTAATGGACTTGAGTGACAATCTACGGTATCTTTTATATGAAATTTATTCAACTTGCTTGACATTAGCTACCTTTTATTCTGTCTAAACTAGCTTGCAATTTTGTCTGATCAACAGGAAGAACTGCAACTTGCATTATTCAAAAACAGCCAAAACCGTAACCTCTTTCTAGACAGGGTAAGGGCGTCGATCTTATTTATATGTTGAGAAATGGGCTCCTTACAAAGGCCTTTGCCAAACAGTTCCTAAACCTGTTCTCCAAGTTTTACTTGCCCGTCTTGATGTTTGAAGTAATGATATGTAGCCATAATGGGGAATAATGCTGTTCTAAAGCATTGCCTAAATGTTCTAATTGGATTAAGCATGCATGTATAGGGTTATAGCCTTTTCTTTTACATGTTATTGGAATATGCCAAGCTTCCTCCTGATTTTGGTCTTTGATAATAAAAAGAACACAATGTTCTGTATCTGGCTATCTGCCTCCTAAAGCTTTAGTATCTCCCATCACTATTTGCAGATGTTTGATGTTTTTTATGTGAACTGCAATGGGCAATTGATTTTGGAAAATTTGGTTGCTCATCGGGCATCTTTCACCCAAAACTCCCGAAGAAACAAAAATAAGATGTAAGACATGAATTTCATGACAGAGAATCTTTGTATTATAGTACTATTTTCTTTAGTGTCTTCTCCTATACAGGACATTCATGTAACTTCTATGTAGAGTTGGTCAATTTTATGTTTGTTGTTGCTTGTGGCAGATGCTTTTAAATTGTATGATTTGAGACACACTGGTTACAGTGAGCATGTGGAGGTAAGTTCAATCTCATTGTTCCATTTTGCTCGCATGGTTATGTGCTGAGTAAAGCTCTTATATTGTGCAACTTCTGAGAATTAACAGTGGCTATATTGTTTGATATGTTTTGATGTTAAGCATCCATAGTTGCTGATTGAAATTGATATTTCAATGAGCAGCAACGTGCTGAGGGCAAATTGGTTGCCTATCCAGCTCTCAACGTATTGGTTTCTCTAGTTGCTTTCCAATCTCTCCCTATCGTTTACAAGTTTCAAAAGTGTTGCGATTGCTTATTTTGCCCCATCAAAAATTCTGCCTCAATATTTTGATCTTATTTGATACGTGAACTTGTTTCCATTTATCATCTTATCCTCATTACGTTTTGTCTAAAACGGCTTCTTCTGCAAACCTCCATTTTAAATGCAGCTTAATAAGCTTTTATTGCTTATGCTGTTATTCAATATAATTACATCAAGATCCCTAGGCTACTACCTATCTCTCTTGAGTTTACAGTTGAAGGAGATGGTTCTGGCTATTCTAAAGGAATCCGATCTAATTCTAGTTGATGATGTTGTTGAAACAATTGTTGACAAGGGTTGAACATCTTCTATACTCTCGGATAAGTGCTTTTCTTTGTCTCTACTTTTCTGATTTAATGCTTGCTTATGCTTGTCTGTTGCGCAGACGTTCACAGAAGCTGATGCGGAAGGTGGTGGCTGGATAAACGAAGAAGAGTGGAAAGGTTATGTGGCAAAGAATCCATTGTTATTGAAGAACATGACTCGTCCATAC